CAAAAGAAGTTAATAAATGATCACGTGATGACAACAGTGCCATCAGAGAGCCAGTAGTTAGTGACTTAAGCATCACAGCCACCAAATATGTCACTGCGGAGCATGAGCGAATGCAGAAGAACACGCGGTGCAATTTTTAGCCAAGGAAACTGCGCTCCGCAGTTGAAAATGCCCAAAGCTGCATAAATTTCTGAGGTTCGACTCAGCAATGTGCAATCTTGACATCAAAGCATTAACCAAACATTTGAGGAAACTTTATCTTACTAAAATACCAAGTATCTAATAAATCAATTTTACCAAAATATATAAACATGTAGAAGGATAAGTGCATTTAGTAGAAATACTTACATTAAAAAAATCTCTCAAAATCTTATGAGCCATTCAATGTATACACACACAAAAAGTGGCAATAAGGTTATGATTACTGCTTAGGGTCCTAACTGACATTACCAAGTTCCATATACAATATATATATATATATATATATATATATATTTATGCAATGTGATTGCGGGGTGTGTGTGTGTGTGTGTGTGTGTGTGTGTGTGTATGTAAGGTAGGAATATATTCACACACATGGAGTTCTGTACATCTACACACGCGGCATGCACATTATTGAGAAGTTGCCTCTGGTTCTCTTATGCGTTACCTCCTATTCATTCTTGAATCTCTAGCAGTTTTGGGGTTGGGGTAGGGCCAAGGATTGGAAATCATCCTGTTTCTGTCCTTCCCCACGCTGTAGATCTGGAAGCAGGTCACATGCTGTGTTTGATCCACACCACGCATGTATGTAAGCTTGGAAGTCATGACCATTCACTCGACACATCCACACAGCACTGAAAGACCCTCTGTTTACCCTAAGGTAGAACTTGAGGCTTTTATTCTCCAGGGGAAAATGGATTCTGTGAGCTTCTTCTTTGCCCTCTGACTTCCTGGTGGGATCAATTCTACACTGCCAGTGGTGCAGTAGTGGTTCAAAGTTACTCAAAATCTACTGGTGTCCTGTCTAGTATGATTTCTTCCCCCAGTGTTTTGGACCAAGACTAAATTTCCTGAGACTTTAACTACCTAAGACAAATATAAAAACAAAAATCTGCCCACATACCCAGGCTGTTTTTCAGGAATGAGTCACTGAAACACATTCATATTTCTTATACCACGCCTTTCTTTTGAGAATTGACTCCCCACTCCCATTTTTAGAAGGAAAACAACTCTAGTGGAAAATATGTACATTTTATTTCTGGACTTCATCCTTCAATGCTTAGCTTGAGAATAGTAGACGGGTAGATCCTTGATTAAAGGTAAATTTGAAAAGATATTTTTAAAAACCCTGGGCTTTTCTTTTCCACTTTACCTTTCCTTCAGAAAGCACTGAGGACTTAGCATTAAGTAGGTGACATGAACTGTAGTGACCTCTGTCCACCAGAGTGAAATGCCTCTCACCAGGGCCCTACTGGGACAGAACATTTAGTTGCTCAAATGGAATTTGGTAATTCTTAAATATGTCAGTGTAATGAGGAGCTACAACATCTCCAAAGTATAAACATTTCTTTCAGAATTGTTGGGACATCTCCCTTTAGAATCTTCAAACACTGGGTTTCTTCTCTTGAAGCTCGGTCTACATAATCTTTAACACTTATTAAATGAGTTAGAATATCCATAAGCAATTTTTTATTTACCTCTTAAAAATATAACTTTAAAGCACATGTTAATCCTATTACACAAAGAACCTAGACGAGAATTCTTTGTCTTCAGTAAAAACCATAAAGGTTAATTAAGGTGCTAGATCCAACAACCTGTGACTGTTTTTGTAGTTCGGGCCTGGGACAGCTTACAATTTTGGGCCAGGGATGACACAGGATGAAAGGCAGCAGCAAGGGTTAATTTGGTTCCTCCCCTGTCCTCTTGCCACTTTGTTTGCAACAACAACAAAGAAGCCCAGAATAGTTGGTCCCATTTCATGGCCCTTAAAAGGTAAGTTTGGAATGAGCACTAGCATACTGCAATCACAAACCACTGTGGGTTAAAAGTCCCTCTGTGATGTTGAGGGCCGGAAATCCATGTCAACCCCAACTAAAGGAGGATAACATAGAATGATAGCTTTACTGTCATGAAATTAATGGTGGACTTCATCAATGTGTCCAAATGGGCAAAATTAGGTTTCTGCCCTAATGTATCACTCTGAAGTACACTTCGGAATCAGGCAAAAAAAAAAAAAAAAAAAAAAAAAAGAATGAGAAAATTATTGCATAAACTGAGTTACTTTAAGGGAGATGGTCTTAAATCAAGTAATCTGTTATAAAAACTGAAGTCCTTTAATGGAAAACTCTGTTCCATTTAGCTCATACAATGCTCCCCGTCTACAGCTTGGCCTCACCACACATTCCCTAACCCCCAAAGCATTACCTATACCCCAAAACAATCTGGATATTATTAGAGTCATACTGAGCTGTCATTTAGGGAATATAGTTCATAGTAACCAGATATTCCCTTTCTGTTCATTTTCTGATAAATAAAAAACTGCAAAGTCTTTAAGGTTCATGAAACAACAAGTCTATGTTAAACTGTATGGACACCGAAAACCACTAGCATTAAAGTAGGAGTTGTTGAAGACACTGGAACCTCGATTAGGCATCATGCACTAGAGTCAAGAAAAGAAATCATATGGAAACAAAATGTTCATAAGTTCTGAGGTCCTGCACTTTGTGTTCATACTCTTTGATCAATCAGTTTACATTTTATCCTTGGCTGGACAGTCAAATCAAGTGCCTTTTATGATTTCAGCAGTTTTAAGCAGTAATATTAAAATAACTCAGTAAGACCTAAAATCACTGTAACTTAACTTAAAAATAAAAATCGTTATAATACAAACTAAGTGATTTGAGGAATAAGAATTTGATTTATAACATTTTCAGTTGGTCATTGGTCTACACACTGGAAGTGTACAAATAAAGTTCAAGAACAATACTTCTAAGACGTTTAAGGAAATGCAATATAATAGAGATCATAAATTATGAGACTTATAGACATTTCCAGTATATACGTCCATTGTCAAACATTTCCAAAGTGTAAACATAACTTTAGATAGTCATCCTCTATTTCCACTATTAAAATGAATACAGAGCAAAACTTCCAGTGTGATCCAGATCACTTTTTTTCCCCCAAAGGTAAGCAAAAAGGGCAAAAAGTTTACAAAAGCAAGCAATAGTATTACCAGATTTTGACTAATTTAGTCTTTTGGTATTAGGAAACATCTACTGAATTGTGTAGTTCATGAATAGTGGTTCCTTGTTTCTCATCATATTAATAAATAGTGAAGCACCACACATCTCAAGTATTAAGAGAGTATCCAGTATGGCAATCTCATTATCATACACCAAAGGAAGATAGTCAGAAAAACATACATAGCGACTCTGATAATTGTAAAACACAATGTTACTTTACGTCAATGTTTCTGAGCATTGAATGAATGAATGATCTGCACTAGGGACAAAAGGATCGAAGCATAACAGACAATACTCTGTCACTAAAAAGGAAACAGGCTTTCGGGAAAGACAGGATTATAAGTTTCTAGTTCAGCCAATTCCAGATTTCAGATATTCACGCAAGCAAAAATAAAATAAAATAAAATAAAATAAATTAAAAATAAGTCACAATGTCCAAAATACAAGATGGTGCTAGATGGGCAGGAGCCCCTTTACATTATCTGTTAACTGTAACCTTCCAAAGCCTTCCCCCAAGCTCTGTGTATACAACCTTTCCAGTGTACAATATGGACCAAGACCTCCCTACCATGTAGTAAAAGGAAGTAAAATACTAGTTGAAGATTCATCTGGCCTCAACTCTTATTTTGAAACTCGTCCCTTGAAAAGTGGATGACCTCATTTTTACAGCCAATGCATCAAAGACAACCAGAGACAGGAGCATAAAAAACAAAACAACGACAACGAACAACAACCGATCACTTGAAGTTTCTCAAGATGGGTGTCTTTTCTCCTCCTTCCGCCCTAGTCTCCTATGCCTGAATTAGTTTGACAAAATACTGAAATCCTTCACATACTGGCTTTAAAATAAGCTGAACTCTCTCTGCTGGTAGACTATATCCTGTGGACTCTCTTAAACAAACTTTAACTGTAACATGGAAATCTCTGAAGAATGAAAGAGAATGGCTCAGAAAAACCATTCAAAACATCTCTAAAATCCAACTGTCAGCTCTCCTTTACGGGAACATTTGTGTGCTCAATAAAATTGCTTCTCTGGTTGCGTGTTACTCAAATCTAAATTTTCTCTAACCAGTATTCCTATTTTTCTTAAAAGTACATTTGTTAAAACACTAACTGAGCCCACTTGGGAAATCTTAAGTAGAAAATATGTGACAAGTTCCTGATTGTGTCACAGTCAGGCTGAAGACTAGCCAGAATTTTCCCCAGGAGAGGAAACCTGAAAATGTTGGTTTCCTTAAAAATCAATTTCCTGTTCAATTTGTTGGGAAAAAAAGGAACTATGTTATGTGTGTCGGTGAACTACTGAACACGCAGCGGGAGCAGAGTAAACAATGGATCCCAATATCCCGGGCTGCATTAACGTCTGATTTTTTTCCTTTGTTCGGCTCAATCTGGAGGATAAATGTTACCCTCAGAACCCCAAGGTAATACCCACATCCACATTCTGAAGGCTTCTGCTTCCTTCTGGGGTTAACAAATAACAGATTCTTTTCTCTCCTTCAGATGCCCAGCAAGCAGAAGAGTTTGCTTGCCTTTTGCCGCCATACGTAATTATGTGGCAGAGCACCCGTGTTTCTACAGTGGGGTTGTCTCACTGTCCAGACACAAACACGAGGGGAGAAACTCTCCCACACACTGGAGTATTCTGGAGCCCCGATCTCAAGGCAGAGCGGCGCTCTGGGCCATGCAGATACGTGCCATTGCCCAGTTTCAGGATTCCCAGACTGAAAAGACATGGCGCTCCACTAACACCACCAGGGCATGGCATGCTTTTCTCGGGCAGGGTGACCCTGGTTCCCCCACAAGGGGTTGGTAAGTAAGAGAAGAGAGAAACACAGCTATTTTGCATCTCTCACAAATGAGATCCTTGGTTTGGTAATAAACAAAGGTGGCTTGGGATTATTTCAGGAGGTGAAAATTAAAAGTGTATTCTATTATTGCAGAAAATGCAGTTTTGCCACAAGCAGTTCCCCAGTCGGCCTACAGCACGTTACCCCTGCCATCAGTTCCTTCGTCCCCGGGGAGGAGAGCAGGGCGGGAATGGGGGAGAGCTGTCTGCGAGGGGGTGTGTGTTACTGTTCGCCAGCACCCTCTGATGCAGCGGTCATCTTTTCTGTCTTTTTAGACTTCCTCTGCATCTGCTCTTGTTCCTTCCTCCTCAGCTTTTCTCTCTGTTTTTCCATCTTCTCTTGAGCCTTCCGAGCCTTCTCTAGAGATACCTTCATTTCCTTGAGTTTTTTTTTGACCACTGCTCGGTCCTGGGATGACGTCATTCCCAGAGCCTAGGAAGGAAATACATAGACAAACTGAACTTGAAAACCAATGACCCTTCTGCTTAGGAAGAGGTTGATATCACAATGTGTTCAGACTCAAGAACTGATTTAAACATAATCAAAGAGGTAAAAACCGAGAAAGAGCTGCTTACGTTTGCCAAAAATCTCCATACCAGGGGCGGAGCTTTATTTGCCCTCTGAAGTGCCCTCTGAAGTCCCTAAACCCCATTAAATACATGCTTTCCAAATTGGCAATTAATGGGTGAAGGAATTAAAAAAAAGGGGGGGGCACAATTCTGCTTCTCCAACCTTTGGGCCATGGACATTTACGGGCAAAAGTACTGCTAAACTCATCAATATTTTTAAAAGCTAGGAGTGGGCACCTGCTGCCATAGAGGGCTCCAAGAAGGGCAAGGAGAACTGAAGTGGCTTCCTTTTTGCCAATGGAATCATTTACAATGAAGACCAAAAATGTCTTTGGGGCCGGAATGCTCATGTCAGCATGACTAGCCATTCCCTCCCTGTAGGCAAACCTATAAAGGAATCCTGTTAATGAGGAGGTTGCTTAGTGAGCATGGAATTCAGAATAAGGGGAGTTGGTTGCGTACTTTAATTGTTTCATGACCTTCAGAATCAACAGCGGGATGCGTCCATCTCCCCAACAGGGACAGCCTTGTCAATGGGTCCTTCATAATCACAGACTACTGATTGATCTCTAACCTTTTCAAGACTGTCAAGGATACTCATCTGCCCTTCAGCCCAGCAGGGGACTGAAGTTGGGAGTGGGGAGCCAAATGTAAGCTCTTTTTGCCCTTTTTTCCACAGGGATGGATTCCCCCCCACCCCACCCCCCACCCCCCAGTCTCTAAAAGGGATGGACTGGACAGGTGAAATGAGAGTGGGGTGGAGCGGGGGACACACGGCCTGCACATACTTGGGGAAGAAAGTTCTGAGGAGAACATCGTCCCAGTTTTGGAGAGGTGTGCAGGGAGCAGCGGGGGTGGAGAGGAAATGAATAAAGAAGGAAAGATTCGTCGATCTAGGTTTCACTCTCATGTGATCAAAAAGTCCACCTTGGCCATTATTACAACTCCTACAACACAGGAAGTCAGCAGACTTCATATATGGACCACGTGTTGCCCGGTGGAAGCAATGGAGTGAGTCCCTAGCTCTCCTACTCAGCAGCCTCCTGTTTGATTCAGAATCCCTGACAACTTTCCGAAACTTCGTTTACTACTCAGAAATGATGCAACGACCTTTCTGCGGACCGTTGGTGAGAATTCCCTCTCAGATATGCAGAACGCTCTTGTCTAAGGAAAACATTTTAGGCGCCATGAGCAACACAACTTACACCTGATAACCTCACACAGAGATATAATTCTTTACCTTAAGTTTATTTCCATCCAACTGCAGGAGTTGCTCGCCAGTGATGTTTTGGGCACTGAATTCAGATACATACTGCTCCAGATTTAGGCTCATTAGCCAGTGAGAAACCTGCTGCACGCTCCATTCATGAACGGCCCGATTCTGACACTGACTGTGTTTGGGAGACTGTCCATCATCAAGGATCTGAGGTAGGAATGTTACGCAGTGTTGTTAAAGGACCAAAACGCTATGGCTCAGCACGGCTTATTATGCTATCAAAAGGAATTTCCTGCCTACTAGAGCCACATTTATCTTTAAACCATAAAATGAATAAGCTAATGGTTCTCAGTTGTGTGTGTAACACACACACGTAGTTATCGCCTACATTTTTGTTAGGTATTTGGAAATTTAAAAACTCCCCCAGATAAAGCAGCATTATTAATGTAGGGTGTTCCCTACTGAAAAATACACTCCGATGTTGCAAGCCCTTACATTAGAACACTGTGGAAAGAGTATGAGATGCAGAAAACAAGTATTTGATTGATCTCTATATGCAATGCATCACTCTGCGGGTAGCCTCTGATAAGACATTAGAGGTATATAAAAATACATTTAGAAATATTGAGGTATCTTTCCCTTAAAAGAGGAAAGCCTTAAGTCCTCAAGCATTGTGAGGGGAAATCTTGCAGCCAGGGTTTCATTTGTGCAGCAAGCAAACCCATGAGGAAGGCGGGGCAGGTAATGTCCATAATGACTTTTAATAAATGAGTAAAGTGAGGCTCAGCCAGTCTACGTGTCTGTCCAGAGCACGCAGCAAGTGACCGGGGGAGCTCAACAGTTTGTGGTGTATCCCGAATCTCGGGCTCTGCCCAGTGCAGAACACCACTTTGACCAGCGCAGAGGGCAGTCGGTTCCTAGAACCTCTAAGCTGAGAGGCAATGGAGGCGATGACAGGTCTGGGAGGACAGACGGGAATCACCTCGGGGAGCACTGACGGGGTGGGGCAGGATGGGGCAAGCCGAGATGAAGGCAGAGAAGGTGGAACAGAATGGACCGTGTCAAGGTAGTGGTGATGGGGGAATCAACCGAGGGACTCTGCAGGTAGAACCTGGTGATCATCTTGCCTCGGAAACATCTCTTAAACTTCGGAACAGACAAGGGCAGAGAGCAAAATGATTTAACACAAGGAAACCCTCCACTACAGACACAAGTATTCTTGTACTGTTTGAGTTTTGAATCATTTTGCAGAGACAGAAGAGGAGGTTCAAACAGTACCACCGAAGCCACGGCGCACAGCCCACCGAGAGCTCACCTCGTCATCTATCATATCCAGGCTCTGAGTGGGGGGGCAACAAAGGAATCAAAAAGAAAAGTGTTATAGAAATAGGAGACACGACATACACAGTACAAAGATTTAAAATTACAATCACACCAGGCCTGAAGAGTATGGGCAGAAAAATTTAAGAGACAACAAGTTTTATAAAACAAAAATCATGTTAGAAAGAAATAACTTAGAGCAAATATGTGGAGCAACAGTATCTTTATGTACAGTGCTTCTCCTTCTCTGGTCCCCCGCCCTAAATAGTGGCATTTCTGTCTTCTCCTTATCTCTTGGGGCACTAAGTCCATCACTCATGCAATTTCCTGTTTCTCTGGAAACATACTGATCTTCTGGGAATTCTTGGCAATGCTACTTTGACCCTGGCTTCTAAATAAGTGATCCTCACCCAGTTTTTCTCCCCTCTCCACTGCAGTGGTTCTCAATCAGGGGCCACGCTCGACTTGGGGTAGGGGTGGTGGTGGGGGGGTAAGGGTGGCGGGGCGGGGGTAAGGGTGATGGTGGGGGAGGCGAGGGAGAGAGGGGATGGACAGTCAGTAAACTCCCCTGTGATTTCTGAGCTGCTCCCTATTCTTGCTCTCTGGTGCCCAGCCCCCTACCCCCAGCCCCCTGCTCAGAGTCCTCTCAGTGAAGTCAGAGTAAGGTGGGGGAGGTCCCTGGAGAGCTTTCAAGGGGCTCAGAAACAATACTTTGCCTTCATTTTGAGATAGAGAGAGGAAAGAGAGAGAAATCAAGATTTCACATCAAACAAGAAACCATGGTCCCGATGATTTACATGCAAAATCTACTTAAGGACGTTTTCCTAGGGATAGGTGACGGGCACAGTGCATGACCTGAGGAAGCGGGTCTGTGTGAGCGCCACGAGCGTACCTCATCTGACGACAGTGCTAAGGACTGACAGAGCCCCGGCGTTTTGGGTTCGGCTCCCAGGCCACTAAGGTCTGCTGAACTGGTACTACTGGGACTGAAGTCATCGTTGAAGGTAAAATTCTGTAAAAATAAATGAAGCTCAGTGTTAAATGAGCACAGTGAGGGAACCAGAAGTAGGTGTATTTGCAAGTCCTAAAAAGGTTCTCTTTAAAGTCATCTTCGGAGAAATTCAGATTTAGTTTGGTGATGACCTTCAAGCGGCGGTGGTGGAGAGTACTGGGCCTTTTATAACTGATAGGGAATTCTGGGCACTTTCTCCATCAGATGGAAGGATAGGTGTTTTGGAGAAATCATTCTTCAATCCCTCTTCAAGGATACAGCCTTCATTATCCTCTGCAACAGCTCAGAGGAGTAATATTAATAAGCCTATCTTCTTTGACCCTACTCGTGATGAGTAACAGTGCAAGTAAAAATACAAGATGGTGTGGAGAGCCTGAGTTATTAAGAACAGATGGCCATCCATATTAGAAAGGTAGCTTGAGCACCCCCTGGGAAGGATCACTTGCTGTTGGCCGTGATAAATACTGTGAGAAATGGCAGATCCCCCTCTGGATATAACCTTCGAGATGATGAGTTCTGGGGAGGTCACAGTCTGCCGACACACTAGTAGTTACGTGCTAAAATACAACTCTTACACAGCCCGCAGAGCACCAGAGAGGCTGCAGAACAGACACTCTCCAAGTAATCACCTGGGGCCGGTGGAGTGGGGAGGTGGGGTGTAAAAAGAAAAAAAAACAAAAAACTTCCCCAGAACTTCATCAAAATGTTCAGTGGCTATTAAAGTCAAGTAAATTCAGAATGACTACATGGCTGCTTTTGTGAAAATATTTTAAACCAAATCTGGAGTCTCTCCAGTGCAAGATAATGGTAGAATTATTCCAACTACACTTAGATTTCTCAGATCCAATACTGAAAATGTTTCAAGATCCAAGTGGTCTACTGCTGCCAAAGCTTCTTTTGCTTGCAATTCTAGAATGACTGGCTTCTGAGGAACTCTAAGCCCTTGGCCAACACCATCTTGTCCCATATTGCACTTCCTTAGGAACCGGCCCGTTAGTTTTCCATTAGGCTCCCTTGCCACTGGGTTCAGTCGGTTGTCAAAAATAACTACCATGCCAGAGGCTGCAGAATTCAGTTCCAAACAAACCCCAGGGTTTGCTAAAACTTCAGACATGGAGACTAAATGCGAGCACGCAGAGCTAGGCTAGGAGAACACGTAAGCAGGAGAGCATTTAACACAACACATTGCTATTTGATATGGTCAACAGACACACAACCCCAAGCCCTGTCAAGACCCTGTGAGCCGCTGACCTCAAGAAAAGAGTTAAATTCAAATCACATTAATCACACGTTTCTGTTTGAGAAAGAAAAGCGAACACAGATAAAAGGAGACCAAACAACATGTGAACGTTAGCCACTGTATGTGTTTCAATAAAATGTTAGATAAGGTTTGCAGCGTCATGCTGGAAATAACAGTCATGCATCTAAAAACAAACAACACCCATGCAATTATATTTTCTAATTCTGCTAAAGTTAGAGAACTTTGGTGATGAGATTGTAAGTTTTCCAACAGGGAAGTTTGATTTAAAAGAAGAAATAAGTAAGGGTGCTATGCCAGCATTGGTTCGTTTTAAAGAGTTTCACTTAGATATATTGAACACATATTCAGTCTCAAATTTATTTGTTTTCCAGTAAATCTCGAAGAGCATAATAAAAATAGTCTTGTAACGTAATTTAAAGTGGAATACTTGGTAAACAGATCTATCATACTGTTCCATGATTCAAATGCATCTTTCCCAGCATGGCTTAACTGTCAAACTGAGATTAAATAGCAATATGTGAAAAGACAGGCAAATCAAAGATTAACGTACAATCTAGAATGGAATAGCATTAAAGAAGGTGACGGTTAAACGAGGCTTTCCTTTTCCCCACACAAGAAATACCATGCATGGCTTATTGCAGTGTTATCACATTGGTTTCTCGGGTCCAGAGTAAACACACAAGTTGAGAATCCTTTCCAAAGACTGGAGAGGAGGAAGGATTTGGGGCTTTCTTGTTTGCTTTTTAAATCCATGTGTTTTCTACCTTGGACCCCTTTTTATCTGAAATTAGAGTTTCAGGAGAAGGCTGAAGGGGACTTGTAGGTGAAGGCAGGTCCCTGAAGGAATAGGATCCTTTTCGGCTCTCATTAAACCACGAGAAAGGCATGCACGGCGAGCGGGTGGAGGCATGAGATGCGGGAGACGGCTTGGGTTTCCAGTGTTCCAGCCTGCCTCTGAAGATCCTGTTTTATGGAAAAGAATGCACATGTCAGACAGAGGAAGGGCAGGTGTGACACTTGCTGAACTGAATTCTGAAGGGACTGAATAGAGTTCAAAGTAAGAGTTTGACAAATGGTTCTACACGATAGAGGAAAAACTTTGCATTTTTGACTCTAGGACATTAAAATCTCAGTAGCTATCTTCTTTGCATCGCGATGGATTCTAGAACAGTGGTCAACATTTTCATATCGCTATTGCCATAGTGCATTCTTATGAAATGTGTCTATTAAGTGGATGTGGATGAATGAAAGTCAGAGGGGCACTGTCTTTCTGGAACTGCTATTAGGTTAACCACCACACCACACCAGTCCCCTTATTTGGGTGACCTAGCAGTGCCTCACTGCCAGTGACATGAGCTCTTAGCCAGCATTCTTTCCTGGCCTTCTCCGAACTCATGCTTCCAAGAGTTTGGGACTTTAGAAAATGAGGTAAATAATTTGGAAATTTCAGGGCTTATGATACTTTAAGCAGAACACACACCTTATTGGTTTTTCATCATAATCGGAATGCTAGCCAGCCACATCAGCTGAATCGACCCAGGTGATCAATGGAGTGACAGATGTGGCAGCCAATCACCCTCACACCCCCTCGGAGGAGACCGGACTGCAGGTCTTAACACTATCCTTGGAGGACCAGGATCTGTCACCTCTCGAATACATGGCCTTGAGCCTTCTCTCAGCCTCTATTTCTCCTCTGTAAAAGGTGGATATTTTATGTAGCTCATATGTGGTTCTTAAGAATTAAGTGAGATAATATGCGTGAAAGTGCTTGGGAAACTGTGAAAGTATAAAGGCGTAATGTTTAACATTTAAAGGATTCAAAAGCATTTGAGAAACCGTTTGAAAACAGATATTTTTATCAGTGCGTGTACTTGCGTATTTATATTTATCTTTTGGTTAGAGAAAAAGAATTATCAAGAGCTGAGGCAGGAATGGGCAGTGGTTTCTGTGCATCTGGGAAGAGGTCAACCCTCAATATGTCCAAAGGAGATTTGACACAATGCCTAGTATTTGTTGGCTGTTGATGTCATGACAGCAAAGAGATTGCCTTTCAATTAAAAGTGCCTCCACACCACAGCTAGACAACTCATGACCCACACACATACTGGACTTCAGTCTTCTCACGTCGCACTCCAAATATTCTGAAATATTATATACTTCAAATATTTCAAAATATATTTCAAATTTACATAAACAGCGTAACTCCTGTTTCTGTTCTTTCCAACGTTACTGTGAGACTCTAATGGGACAATAAACGTAAAAGCATCTTGTTAACTGCAAAGCAATCTACAAATGTAAAGGGATTATAAAAATAGTGACTAAAGAAAAACGGAGATGCCAGAAGTTTGGCAGAATACTGAGATCATAGGTTGGGTGAGTATAACGACGGTCATTTAAAGATTCCAGGATATATCTGATGATTATGATGGTGAATTCCTTTAAAAAAAAAACAAAAAACAATAAAGGGGACTGTAAAGATAACAGAGAAAGCCCAACGAGAGATGTGTCAACCTTCAATCTCATCCTAAAGTCTAAACTAAAAAAATTCTGTATCCCGAAGTCTACTTACTTGCTATTAAAAGATGGGGTAGAGGGGGAACAATAACTGGACTTAAGAGACCACGCTAGCAGAGGCAGACCGGTCTTCTGTAAGAAGCCCTTTCTATTCCTGGGTCGTGGACCAGTGCAGTGTTTCCGAAACAAGACCAGTAAGAGTCACCCGGGACAGCTGCTCATATACAGGTTCTTGGGCACCTGGGCTTATCGAATTAGAATCTGGGAGAGAGGCAGGGAGGAGTTCGTCTGGAATCTGCATGTTAACACGTCTGAGCTGACTCTTGCAAGTTTTTAGTATCTACATTTATTTCTATTTTCCTGAATGCAAATATGAGGTTTCTGGAGAATGGGCGACTACTTACGGAAAATTATTGCACTGGGTCCCCATGCCCTACTTTCGTCTTTCCAGAGTGACAGAATGAAAGCCAGTTGTCGTCCTATTCTTGGTCTACAGGTGAGGAATCTAAAAAATACCAATCTGGATGATTAGATAAGACAGGGACAGTAGCACTGTCCCCACCTCCCTTCTGGTAGAGGGAGAGAAATCTTATCGCCTTCATGTAAACAAATTCAACTAGGGAAGGATCCTGGGTTCTTACCCTTCAGAAAGTAATATATGTCTTAGGGGGAGATAAGACCAGCGTCTCCAGCTTAACAAGCCTGGCAATGTCTCCATGAAGCTGGGTCTCATCCCCTCCCCCCATCCCACTGCTTGAAAATGAAACCATACACCTCATGGGAGGTAAATCTCTGCAGTTCTATCTATCCAGTCATAATTTAGCTTCTAAGGCCTGATTTTTAAGCTCAGGTTCCACAGTCCAGTAAAAATGCCCAGAAAGCTCTAACTGTGCAGAACCATACAAATATTTTTTTTGCAGTCCTACATTCTTATCATTGGACATATCTGAGATAAACTGGACCTAAGGATTATTTCCCCCTTTGGTTACTCATTTCTGAATCAATTAATCAAAGTAGCATGGAAGTTTTTTTTTAAGAGTGCCATTCATAATTCAAAAAGGTACAGAAGTGCTTAAATATATGGATATTGTTTTAAAGTTTATAAACAGGCCATAATTAATGACAGCATGACTATCTTGTCCTGCTCCCAAGTGAACTGCCTTTGTAACGATGCTTTTGGGACAACCACCATCATGCCCATTTTTTTTAATTAGGCGGGAAATAAGAATATTATTGCCTACTTGCTGTCATCCTAATGCCTTATTTGAAAAGGACTTTGGGTTCAAATTCTGACCATGGAACATTTCAAACAAAATCTCAAGACCACATATCATTAAACTCTTTCATAAGAGCCTCACTGCCAGGAAAATATTCAAGACTAATAATTCCATGAGGACTTGTATATCCAGTGCTGAAGACAGGTCCCGAGGCCATATATAGTGTGAGTGTGATGAGTGTCATCATGGAAGCTCAGCTTCGGGGGACATTCAGAGGCTTTCTTCTCCAGCTTTCTATACAAGATGACGGAAGGACCGGAGGAACTGTCAGATAGAAAGCAAAGAAAGCCCACTTCTAAGGAAATAACCAGTGTCCTCACACAACTGCAAACCACCAGGTCCTGGAATCCTTTGAAGAGAATTTTCCGGGTCTCCAGGAGGTCTGGCGATGCCCCTGCTGAGGCTGTATCTTTGGGTAGCCTTGACTCTAAAACACCATGAACTGAGGTAACCTCTGTGTGTCTCCTACTATCCTGAATGGTCAGTATGTTTCCATTTGTTTGGACCTAGAGTATATTCATCAAAACAAGCAAACTCGCCATTACTTCATAATTACAGATCTATCGGCTTAACAGACATGCTTTCTAAAATAAATACCAATTTCCTTTTGGACAATTTGAACTCTTGGGCCTACAAAAGGAGCAGAGAGAGCTTGGAAGCAGTCATGCCATTACTGACCACTTATAGCCTTTCCCATTTGGTGGAGAAATCTGTTAAGAATAACATAAAATTCTTCCTTCTCTCCTTACTACTTTCCTCCATTTCCTCTCTCCTCCCCTCCCTCTATCCCTCCCTCCCTCCACTGACAGTTTTGACTCTGACAGCAGGTTATGGTCTGGGGTGCATAAGCTTCATAGAGATCCTTAATAATCCCCTTGAAAAATCAAGATTGGTAGAAATGAGTGTTTCATGGATCTGAAAATAACTTCCAGAGGATCAAAATAGGTATGTGTTCTGTAATTCATCTTCTTTTTTAACTTGTACAGTAATGTCTCACTATCATTTTTGGTAAAAATGGAATTGCAGGTCACTGATGCAACGCTGATTGTTTTATTGTTAGGAACTGGGAAAAAGAATGGCTTCAGATTAAGTCTCTGTCATATTAAATTGTCATGGGGGGGCGGGATGAGGTGGGGGTAATCACTGTTTCCTGGCATTTAAATGGTTTATAATTAACAACTCTTACAGAGCTCTTAACCCAATACATACATCTTGAAACCAGTTCATTCTGGGGTCAGCACCCCAAAATTAAGTTGCTCAGGTAAACATTCCATAGCAATTTTTTTTTTTTTGATTTGTCTTAACTTTGAATACAAGGTGTGTGAACTGAATGTCATCAAGATATAATTAGGAGTTCAGGAACTGCCAGAACAGAAAAAGTATAAGCAGAATACAGAATTCAAGCAGGTAGTTAAGGAGGTTAATTAAAGAAAGTTAGGTGCAATCAGAGGAAGGGTTGCAGACTTCCCTTTATTCACATCAGAGGAAGTAATTCCGTAAGGTTCTAACATCCACTAAGGAGACTGAGGTTGTAAAAGCCAGCCCCTTGGGAAGGGCACTTGGAGACCCTCAAAGATAACAGGTAGGACAAGCAGGTGTCCAACTGCAGGTCAGGCCAACCACCACTGACACATCCTGCTTCGACCCTGACTTATGGTCCAAAGCTCCGATTAATAACCAACAACCCGTCTGAGATGGTCACTGTAGTGTTTAACCTTAATTTCGTACAGGGTTCTGGACATGCGGCCACAGAACATGACAACTTAGCATAGCAAATATTTTAAGGTGAAGGAATCTGAGAAATGGCAGGTACGGGAAGGGTTCTCTGACCTCCCCTCTGCCCCCGAAGCAGATCATAAGATCTTAGGGGAGAGGTGCCCTCCCTATACCTGGAGGAAAGGAACATCCTTATCTGTAGATGGAGGGATACCAAGAGGGATCTGAAGGAACAATGCTTTGGGGAACGAAGAGGCCTTGCGAAGTTTCCCATTTACTACCCTGAGTTCATACCCTTTAGTCCTCTCACATTTTTTCCAAGACTTTCCACTCTTCAACAAACCTAGCATTAAAATGCTCAGGCTTAACCACTTCTTTGGTCTTCACTTCCTGATAAAGGTTCCTGCAGCACACAAAACTTACGTTAAATCAATTTGTATGCTTTTCCCTTGCTAA